CCACTTTTCTTCCTCTATACTTTTGTCTCTGTGTCTTATTTCCATTTCTCAGTCTCTCGTCTCCACCTTGCAAGAAATACCCACAGGTGTGGAGGGGCAGGCCTCCTTCAGGATCACTTATGCTTAGGAGTTTGAGATCAGCCTGGGCAACATGATGAAACCCCATCTTTACAAAAAAAATAAAAATTTGCCAGGCGTGGTGGCACATGCCCGCAGTTCCAGCTATTTGGGGCAGCTGAGGCAGGAGGATTGCCTCAACCTGGGAGGTTGAGGCTACAGTGAGCTGAGATTGTGCTGCTGTACTCTAGTCTGGGTGACAGAGCAAGACCTCATTTCCAAAAAAAAAAAAGTACATTTTATGTGGATTTTACCACAATTAAACCAAAACAGTAACAGATAACAGACACACAAAATGATTGGCGTGGTGGCACGCGCCTGTAGTTCCAGCTACTCCACAGGCTGAGGCAGGAGAATCGCTTGAACCCGGCAGTGGAGGTTGCAGTGAGCCGAGATCGCACCACTGCACTCCAGCCTCGGGGACAGAGTGAGACTCTATCAGAGACTGGGAGACGCCAGATTCTAGGTGTATAAAAATATAACATATAAAGTTGGGGAGGCCATGTTAGTTACCCTTTCTACTTAACTTCTTGTTTTTATTCCCCAAATGTCCTGAAGAACAAACTCTCCCTTCCCCAGTATGATACCAATTAGCATTCCCAGGAGCCCACATCTTCAAGAACACAATCCAGGAATGCTAACCAGACCACACGGCCCTTCTCAGACTTCCCAGTAGCTTTTCCTTTCATGCAAACCCACCAGACACCGGGCCACATCAGCGGACAGGTACTGCCCACTAGAAACACAAGTGTGTGACCATGAGGGTGGACAGAGTGGCCCGGCCCGTACCTGCTCAGAGAGCATGCATCACGATTTCAGAAGCTGCCTCCGGCGGGGAGCAGACAACTACTCCAGAGATGCTGCAGGAATAAAGCGGAATGTTAAGAGCGTGCTTTGAGACCTAGAACATTTCAAAATCCATGCTGCTAACACCACTCTATAAACCATCTCAGGCACGAGAATAACACAAGAAAAAGGCCTCAACAAAGTAAATTGTGAAAACATTTCCAGTATGACTTACTTCAGAATTTAACTTGCTAATTTTGAGGAATAAAATACAGATTCCAGCCAAGTCACAGAATAGGCTTCTGTGAGTCAAATTCTATTAAGATCCTCAGGGTCAGGTACAGGGGCTCACACCTGTAATCCCAGCACTTTGAGGTTTCCTGAGGCAGGAGGATCCCTTGAGCCCAGGAGTTCAAGACCAGCCTGGGAAACATGGCAAAAACCAGTCTCTAGAAAAAATACTAAAAAAAATTAGCCAAGCTTGGTGTCACACACCTGTAGTCCCAGCTACTCAGGAGGCTGAGGTGGGAGGATCACTTGAGC